GTTAGAACACTTTAAATGACTCTGGTCTAAAGTTTAATATTAATAAGCATGCTCAGTTTGGAGGAATTGCATGCAAGGCAACAGATTGACTTGAATTAAACAGGTGATCAGAGGGAAAGCTTTTTCATCGTACTTTCTCTTTAAAATATTTCTCATACTTGTGTGCATCAGAATAGACCATTTTGTTGTTGTTTTTTTTAAGTTTTCTGCGCGCACGGCATCATGGGTAAGGGTCAGAGTACTTTGATACAAASAAACCCGCGCTGTTGACTTGATGAATGGAACTTTTTTTTTTATCTGCAACGATTTAGGCGATCTATGGCTGAAAAAACTCTGAACAAGGTAAATGTTGGAGTGTCTGTCCTTTTAAGGATGATTAAAGAGCTGGTGTCCATGAAACATATGTTCTGCCAGTGTTTATGTTGCTCAAACTCAAGCCAGAGCTAGCTGTGAGTCCCACCAGTTTTCACCTGGAAGGAGAAGAGCACATGTGACACAGGCTCAGTGATGGTCGTGTCAGCGGTTAGCTTTAGCTTCAGCTTTCTCTGCTTTTTAAAAAAAAATAGCTAATACGTGTTAGTAGAGCCAAAATTCTTGATTAGCGAACTGTTACTGAACCTAACCTGTTGGTTAACCAAAAAAAAAAGCATCAAAAACAAGCTCAAAAAAGACATTTAAAGCTTTAAGATGTGATTTAAAGGACACCCAAATCGTTCTAGAATGAACAAATTAGGTCTGTATAACAGCGTAAATTTACCAGATGAATTTGTTCAATTCCGATGGCGTTGTGACCCGGCTGCTTCGCGTTTTACAATGAAATGCAGCTGCTTCAGGCTCAGTTTGGATAAGTTGGATAAGTTCAGATTCARTGTTWTGAGTTACACAGGTGATCAAAGGAWAACCTTCTTCTTCATCCATTCTCTTTGTAGTGTCTGATGGATCTTGTGMAGCATCTCAGTGGAGTGTTCGTTTATGAGAAAATCAGCAAGACTAGGTTTTTTTTTTTTCTTAGAATCTAATTATGACTTTAAACCATGCAAATTGAGATTATTGGCTCAAAGAAGTAAGATGTGACAACAACTAGGAATCCGGAGAGATTTGAGGAGACTGTTGGTGTTCCCATTATTTTCTGCTGAGTCTTAATTTTAATTTTTTTAAATCAATAAGTGCTTCTATTTGTATCGAGAGATGGTTCAGCACAATAGTCCTGTGTCTGATTCTGTGAGGGTTTGATGGCTCAGCCCTCCACCACCTCCACCCCACCACCGCCGCCAGTCAGCTATAACATGTACAAAAACTGCTTGGCTTGCATCTTTTAGCATACTGACTGCAGCCGGTGTCTTGGAAAACATTTCTACAGCATTAGTGGCGAAGTCAGAGAAAGCATATCAGTTTTTGTCCCCCTCATACTAGGATATAATGTCACTGTCCATAATAGGCCACTGTATATAATCTGTGAGCTGCCTTTCTTAAAACCCACAAATCTTAATACAGCAGCATTATAATTTACCCATTTAGGACGGCAATACTGAATACATTTTGATAAAACAGTTTTCTTTACTATTTACTGATTGCTTGGCTCTTTTCTTTTCACCTCTGTCAGAGGAGGAACCTTTAGATTTGTGTTCTGTACCACTGTTAGCTTTACAAGTTGCTGTGTACTCAGCATTTGAGTACACTGCGTAAAGAATAAAAAGTAATGGGGCCAATGATCCTGTGGCCTTAAATTGGCCCCGGAGCTCAGAAGCTGACATTTACAGTACAAACAAAGGCTTAAGGGACGMCTAATCCCCTCCAGCTTGAAATAGCTTGCTCAGTTGTAGGAGCTGCATCTTGTTAAGGAAAGGGCTTGAATCAACCCACCTATGCTA